ATACTATGTTTATGTTTCGGGTCGCTCGCGCTCGCCGCCCGCGCCGCGCTCCCCGCCGGGCCTAGGTTTTTTTCCACCACGGTGTATCTCGCGCGTCGCTCCACCTCCCGCTCATCGATCGATTTTCTTAAATGCCTTCCGAGTCCGGCCTACCGTATTCTGCATTCTCATTCGCTCAGACGTGTAAATTAATTACTCGATAACCATTGTTACTTTTGTACCGCGGCACTTGATATTTCTCCTTAGTTTAACCCAATCTACCACTATTTTCAAGTTGGCTACTTTTGCATCAGACACCCTGTACATATAATACAATTAAGAAATAATAAATTTTATTATTTCTTAATTGTATTATACATTGTAAATATTATACAATTAAAATATAAAAACTTTAATCAATCAGGTTTTCAAGATGTCACTATTAAACATTTAGTAGTTAATATAAATAACGTAAAATTGACTAAAAGTTGACTTCTAATAGCCATAAAGTAGACTTCTGATCGCCATAAAGTAGACTTCTAATCATCATAAAGTCGACCTTTAATTGCCATAAAGTCTACTTCTAAAGCCAAAGGCACACGATACTATTTTTCCTACTGGATTGCTTACGAGAGCCAATCAGGACGCAGAGTTTTCGATCAGGTGACTCAAAGCTGAATCCTGGTTGGCTCTCGTAAGCAATCCAGTAGGAAAAATAGTATCGTGTGCCGTTGGCTTAAGTTGACTTTTGGCTGACAGCCGACTGACAGTCAACTAATAGTCGACTTGGTGCTGTTTGGGTGGTTACAGGTATGTTTACACACATTGTATACATGTAATTGAGGATTAATTTTTTCTTGGCATGTTTCTTGCCTTCAACCCTTCCTTTGGATTATACAATTATAATAATTATTGCATTTCTAATTAACAATAAAAATTTTTGTTTTTTACATATTTGTCACAATTTGAAATAAAAATGTTCAATAAAATTCCGAAATAAGTTGAAACGATTTCACATAAAGTGATGGAATATAACAAAGATATACTATATACGTCATCATTCATGCATTTATCGGAGAAATAACTTGCATAAATTGTAATAGCATCTTCCGAATTTGCAACAAAGTTATATATTTATCAAATGAAATATACGAAGCAATTTTATCTATAAGCAAAAACCGCAAAAATGCACGATAGTTAAAAGGTGAAAGCCACAAAACAGAAAAAAGATATATGTGAAACAATCGGAGTTTTTTGTTATACTAATGATTGCGTGAAAAGTTCATAGGGATTGTGTTTGATTATGTTGATTATATTAATTACTTGAAACAACGTTTTATAATAAATACTCGTGCACTTTTTGGTAATAATGTAATGAAACAAATAAAATTTTATTGCGACAGCAGGTGTATTTTTCTCCTTTAGATATTGCCGTTGATGCACTTGAGAAATGTCGATTCACGTAACCTTTATCCTTTTGAACTAAAGATAACGAAAACACATACTAGAAACATAACAAGAAACGCAATAGGAAAGACGCATCTGCGTGATAGCAATGTAAATTTCCTTAATCGTATCTATCAAAAGTTTTGTATATAAGGTCGATTTCTTGGCGAAGCAAAGCAATTGAGTCAAACGACGATTAACGCAACGATCAACGAACGATCTTCAAGATGAAGAGTTGCGTAGTTTTGTTATGCCTGGTACTGTGTACAGCACCGATCGTAATGACACAATCACAAGTGAGTATTATGTTAACAAATATGCAAATAAACATTTAATTCATACTCCTAGCGAAGAGCTAGCATCAGTTGCTGACATTTTATTTCCATGCATTGCTTGGGTATACTGAAAAGTCAAGTGCAGGCCATACAGATGAGAGGGAAAGAAATGTACGTGTTTGTTATTTGGAAGTTAAAAATGATTTAAATTATAGTTTGCATTTTATATTTGCTCAAATCTTTTGATATTACAGTAAAGTGCTTCTTCATGTTTCCAAGTTTGTATGTGTCTCTTATTTTCATCGTTACTGCAACAAATATCAATAATCCTAATCAATAATTAATTATATATAATCGTGATTGATTTTTATATATGGCTCATAGAGTATGTTATAGATTTTATAGTGTATATACGTTATAAAATAATAGATTATTCATATAATACAAATGTGTCTTTATAGACAATAAGGACTTCTTCAAATTGCTATTTTCTTCATTTTCGTAATTTTTGCTACAGCTTTTTATCGGAGAAAATACTTCATCTTTATTTATGACCTATTTTCCCTTGTTTATCGTGGCTGCGAGGAGTGAAATTGGACGGTTTATTCACTTACAGGCGTATATACTGCCTTATCCGGGCGATTGCAGCAAGTATCAACAATGCGACGAGAGTGGTTGCTTTGTGATGAGCTGCGGTAGAGGAACGGAATTTAATCCGGCTATAGGTACTTGTGATTATCCTCTGAGAGACCGGTCAAACTGTGGTAATCGTGGTTGAACACTTTTACATGGAGCTATTGTAAAAATGCACAGTTATTTTTAATATTCACTCCTATTTTGGGATTCACTCCTAACGGATACTTGTTTTATAACACTGTATAAATAAAATTATAATATTAATGTAAATATTGTTTGTTCTATTCATTATTAAAATTCCATGTCATTATTACAATAAACAGTTTCTTTGTTGCTAAGTGAAAAAATAAGATGATAAATAGTACAACTAAAAATTAAAAAATCGTCAAGTTATTTGCGGATCGTTTTCGCACGTAGATTGACAACGTCGGCGAACTGCAGAATTTCGCGAGCATCGAGAATAGTGATTGCAGCGTGATCCATTACTATCGTTCATAATAGTAATAGCAAATACACCGAGGCAACAATGCGATGCAAGGAGAGAACAATGGTAGGCGACGATCATAACCGTGTTTGACGTATAGACGCTAAACAGCATTACAGAAGTG